CGTCCCGGCCGGCTGCGCAGGGTGCGGGGCGCAGGGTCTGGGAGCCGCGGGGCTGCCCACCTCAGCGCACCTCTCTCCACCTCGCCCTCAACCGCCGCCCCCACTTACGCAGACATCTCTTTCATCGCTTCCTGCGTCTCTCTCCAGCGAGTGTCTTTCGCTCTGGGATCCTGTTCTTGCCCTCTCTTCCTTCCTCTGTCCACTTCCCTTTGCAGCTCGCTTGCAGCTCGCTTGCTCGCTCACTTCCCCACTCACTACGGCCGAGGCATTCAACCGAGTAGTGAAAACACCACAAAACCGGCTCTATTTATGACAATACAGCGCGGCCGCCGCCAATATGGCGCTGCTTCCCAGGCTGCCTCTCGCCCTCTGCGGCCCCGCCCCTGGAGCCGCGGGCCCGCCCTCGACCACGCCCCCAGCCGTGAGCTCCGGGCTCCCGCCCGCCAAGTGTGCGCTCTTGCACCGAACGCATCTGTCAGAGTGGTCCTTTCCTGGGGGGGACTGTCAACCCAGTCAAACCTCTAGGAAGGTTATTCGCCAATTTTTCCTTGTTTTTGCAATGAAAACATCTAGAAAAGACCACCGCTTTTCCTAACACATTTTCAACTCTTCCATGAGCCCACATCTTTAAGTCAGAGGCGTAATCGGTACCCGTTGTGAAGATCTCGTCGCCAGAGCGACACACCCAAGAATGTGAGACTGTAACATAGTCATTTCAGGTTAAAAGCTTATAAATAAAGTAGTCTGACTTGTTCCCTTCTTCCTCACAGTGCCACCTCCAAGCCCTGATTTATGATTTTGTGGCATTTAGCTGAGAGGCTGATCATAATTGCTACCAGTTAGTCAAGAGGTAAACCCAAGACCCACCCTTCCCTGCTCTCCCCCCCCCCACAAAAATCTCACATTTTCAAATAGTTAAAATAATGTTATTTGTGATTATCAGGATAAAAATGAGGGAGAAAGTTATCTATTTTAAAATGAGAAGGAATGAAAGTAATTTCAAACTGTAAGTCTTTTTCCCCTGGAGTAGAGCTTGTTTGTTTGGAGAAAGTGACTTGGTCATAGGAAGGGAGGAATTATTTATTTGTTTATGAATTTATTTATTGAAGCCGGGCTGTGGTGGCACACTCCAGCACTCAGGAGGCAGAGGCAGGTAGATCTCTGTGAGTTTGAGGCTAGCCTGGTCTACAGAATGAGTTCCTGGACAGCCAGACATACACAGAGAAACCCTGTCTCAAAAACAAACAAACAAGAAAACCCAAATATTTATGAAAAATCTGCTCTGTCAGTTTGTCATGCTCCAGGTTCTTTCTGATGCATAAAAGAAGACATGCTATTATTTGACCTCATCGAGTTCAGAAAAACTTCTTCAGATACAAATAATATTCTCCTGCTGCAGAAACATGTGTCACACGCTGTAGAAACTAGATCCCTGTCTTCAAGAGTCTAGTGCCTATTGGATGAGAACAAATATACACAAATACAGATGGGGTCCAGTTGCAATGAGGGCACCAAAAGAGGCTCACCTAAACATGGTGGAATAGTGATACACGATTAATAAACACTCAGAGAGAGAATTAGGGGTTCAACCTGAAGGTCAGGAAAGTAAAACAGCCAGCCACTGGGTCTTACCTCGACCTCAGTCCCATATGGCGATCCTGCCTCCAGGAATCTCAGAATGAGACAGTCTGAGAGCTGTCTCCCATTTTATATTCCTCTCTAGGGCTGGGGATTAAGGCATGCACCACTGGAATTAAAGGGATGCACCGCCCGGTTTCTATGGCAACTAGTATGGTTACTGGAATTAAAGGTGTGTGTCACTACTGCCTGGTCTGCAAGGCTGACCAGTGGGGCTGTTTTACTCTCTGAACCTCAGGCAAGCTTTATTTATTAAGATAAAATGAATTGCCACTACAGTAGAGTCACTAGCATCTTCCTAAAGGAGGGGATGCCGCTTGTACGGGCAGGATTTGAAGAGGAGAGATTTCAGCAGGTGAGGAATAAATGAAGCCTTTCCTGGGAGGCATTGGGTAGCATCTAGGTTGGGATTTGGTTCAGAGGAGACCTATGTTTGCTATTTGCTAGCCGTGTGGCCTCTAGAACTTTAAAATAAATGTTTAGCTTAATCTTAGACTTTTTCTTTTAAAACAATAATTATATTTATTTTAGCCTGCATGTGGGAGACAGGAAAACTACTCGGAGTCCGTTCTCCCTTTCCACCGTACGGGTCTCAGGGATCAAAATGAGTTCTTTGGCTTTGGCAGTAAACATCTTCATTGAGTCATAATGACAGTCTCTAACTTTCAGCTTTTCGAAGTATTTGAATATGCATATCTAATAAGAGCACTTTGCTACACAACCATCATATTGCCACATTCAGCCGCCATTGATAGAATCAGGAGAGGAAATGACACCCAAAGTCTTGGGGTTCCTAAAAGTCTCTCAGCCCTCTTTCTTTCATCTACTGTGACCAAGTGGATTTGCTTGTTCTTCCCTGTGAATGGTGGAGGGGACATCTTTTAGCATTGCCTACACCTGTAATCTATTGTCTCCTCAAAGAAGGAAGCTTGCCTTCTGCGGTTTAGCTTTATTTTACTGCCCAGTTAATTCAGCACCGCACTTTAGCACAGATCCCTGGGTTCTTAATGTAAAGTTTCTGTGGCTAGGACAGCTGTAGTCAAGCTTCCAGTATCTACACACCGTATCTTCAGGTCAGCCAACCTCGTATTTAAAATGTTTTATATAAAATTCTACCTATACAGAGGATGCTCACCCTTTTTTTTTTCTTTGCCATTCCCTAAACTACCTTTTGTTTTTGTTGTTTTTGAGTTTGGGTTTCTCTGTGTATCCCTGGCCGCCCTGGAACTCACTCTGTAGACCAGGCTGACCTTGAACTCACAGATCTGCCGGTCTCTGCAGTGCTGGGGTTAAAGGTGTGCACACTATGTCCTGCTTCCCTAACCTATTTCCATTTTTCAAGATCCTATAAATAATGTAGAGACTATTAAAGGAGGATGTCCATAGGCTATATGCAACATGTTAGACTTTTTTCTTGGTCATCATTGCCTATTTACATAGCATTTCACATTGCTTTAGGCAGCATATTCTATAGATAGCTTAAAGTATACGGGATGATGCTCAACGGTTAAATGCCATTGTAGTGCCATTTTACAGGCCTGAACCTGCCAGTGTTGGAAACAGTGAGAGATCCTGAGTCTAGCTTCACAGGATATGAAGGGATGACTGTACTTTGTTCACACAATTTGCTGCTTTTTCTTTCCCCCAAGTCAATTTGGTGTAGAGGAGGGAGCGGGACAGGTTTCTATTTACTCTCCTGTACCTAGAATACATAAAACTAGAAGCATAATTTGAACAATTCAAGAGTCTTTTGGTTTTGCTTTTTAGATGTATTTTTACCTTTATTATGTGTATGCAAGTGTGCCTATGTGAGGATATACACACATTTGTGCAGGAGCCCTTGGGGGCCAGAAAAGAGCCTAGGACACCCTGAGCTGGAGTTTTAGGTGGTTGTGTTTGCCTGATGTAGATGCTAGGAATCTGTTTCTGACCGGCCATACTTTACATCGCTGAGTCATTTCTCTAGTTTGCACTGACTAAAAAATATTTGAAGAAAACGATGCAAATATGAAAAAATTAACAGAAAATTTATTTATTATTTGTGCGTGTCCACGTGTGGAGGTCAGAGGATAAATTTTCAGAGTGAAATCTCTCTTCCCAACTTTGTGTGGGTTCAGGAATAGAACTTAGGCTACCAGGTAAACAGTTTTCCCCGCTGGGTCATCTTGCCAGCCCTCAAAAGCCTGTTGTTTAGAAGAATTCGCTCTTGAAAAGATCCCCAATACCAAATCTCTGGGTTTTCAAGGTCCATGCTTCAGAGGTGAGGTTCCAGGGGTATCTGAATAATTTTTTTTAAATTAAGAAAACTTACTAGCATTAGGCATAATGGTGCATAATCCCAGCACCTAGGAGGGAGAGGTCTATAATTCCAGCACTTAGGAGGTTGAGACAGGAGAATCAGGAGTTCTCCCTCCTCCTTACTTACATAGTGTTCAAGGCCAACAGAACAAAATCTAGCTTCATTAGCAGAGGCTTAGCTCTGGAAGTGGAGATGTGAAATGCACCAAACCAAGCCAAGGTAGCAATCAACACCTTTCCAGGGAGATGTCTTAAAGCCTTTGGTTAGAGAATTCAGCATCCCCGTTCATGTGTTTGGCAAGACAAGAAAAGTCTTTACACCAATTGAAAAACTTTTTTCCCAGAACTCAGGGGAATTAACATATAAATTCAGAGGACAGGGAGGTAGATTTCTTGCTTCTCTCCAAATGGAAGCTAAGATTAATTATGGGACTCACCTGTCCCTGGAAACAGGTTGGATAATAGCTGCTGGCTGTGCACTGCCACAGCCCCACAGTTCTAAGCAACTCCCTTACTTTGATCAACTCATTCTTTCTCAGCAGGCCTGAAATGGAGCCACAGGACACAGTGCTCGGTTTACAATCACGTTAATTTTGCATTTTGTTTGTCTTTAGCAGTTGGAGATTAAGGAGTAGAAAGGGATTTAGGTTTTCACGCACCCTCCTTCTAATCACTGGACACATTGTTCCTGGCAGTTTCATCACTTGGGTTTCCTCAGCCCAATCAGGTACACAGTTGCTTTGTCTACTGTAGGTTATATTGCAGAAAAAAGACAAGCCTCCTCAGAACCTCAGCTGCCACTCTGGGTTCCACAAAAACTACCGAGAAAATATGCCTTTGTCGGACTTTTTGTAATATTTTCGCTAACATTTTAAGTAAATGAGACACTTCTAAAGTATTTTACAAAGACTATTGCTGCATCCATTTTACACAAGCAGGGGATCAAATCACCTTATATATGTAGGTAGGGTGAACTTTTATTTAGAATTCAGAGTCTGGAAGCTTGAGCTTGTTGTTATTCCAACTCTGGACACAGTTTTCCGAACTGAAGTAAAACAACCTTCATTCTACTTTAGGAACAAAACCACACACACACACACACACACACACACACACACACACAGAGAGAGAGAGAGAGAGAGAGAGAGAGAGAGAGAGACAGACAGAGACAGAGACAGAGACAGAGACAGACAGAGAGAAAGGGAGAGAGAACTACAGTCAATATCCTTGATAAATATAGATGCAAAAATCCTTAATAAAATACTTGCGCTTTTGTCTGCGGGGTCCTTGGACCTCCAGGAGTCCCTGTCCCTGTGCTGAGGAGAACCACCCAGACCGGTGAGTGGGTACCATTCTGAGGTGGGGTGGACAGTCTGGGAAAGGATCACAGGGCCCCTCCAGCTCCTGCTGCAGGGGCTTCTTTGTT